GGTATTCACTGCGAGGAGCACTCGAGTTTCATTCTATCATGGAATCTGATTGGCCAAAGAGAAACAAAAGTCATTACGTCACAGAAATCGTTTCCTGACTCGGGTTTGCAGACGTTATTTTTGGCGGAAACAAGCGACAGCCGGAAATACGTCTGCGTTCGCAGGCTAAACAAACTATGGCAATTACACCATTATGTGTAACTTTGTAAAATTGCGATAATTAAAACCCTCCGGCTTTCCGGCTGCGACTGGGGTTTAAATCTTCTAATTCTCCGAAAGCGTCTGTTACCTTTGCGTTACTCAGAACTTTCGTAAACACGTGCATCGATTTGATCGGTCTGAGATTGACCAGGTTATCACCTTTAGCCACATTATGCATGCAAAATTTGAAGTTCCGTTTTGCTCCAGATATTGCTCAAGTGTTTCCACATACAAATAAACAGTATAGTCCTACTATAGACTTTACATCTGTCAATCGTGCAACGTGCATATCGACTGCATGCTGAAATCGTTATATTGCCATAACTAGACAAATCCGTGAATAGGTGAATCAGGTTAAGCGATTGACGTTTGCAAAATCGTGGTGAAATCAACCGTAGAATGCTGCGTCGATCCTGCCTCGAGAATTTTGAAATGCCTGATTTTGCTCGGCTTTATCACGCAAAATCTTGCAGTTATCATACCATTTAACCCAATACCAGAGAGGTTTCCCCAGTTCCTTTTTGTATTAACGTTATTTTTCAGACCGTAATCCAGTGCCCAAGTACAATGGATATGAATTTAAATGAAGAACTCAAGGTCTGCTTTGTGTTTAGACTTCATCATGGATGTATCGTGACTTATAACCTGCTCTTATTGACAGTTTTTAAAACATGAATCTTCCGTTTGAATGTTAGAATGCAGATTTTGGTAAATATGTCACTTTCAGAAGCTGTACTCGCAGTTCGTCGAATAAACTGCGCACACCTGTGAATGGATGTGTTATTATATGTACAGTTATCAATTTCAAATATTCCTACCACTCTCGCTGAACTTCAGCTAGCTCTAGTCTTGAATGTCCGGCTGCTATGCTTCCAACTGCTGGTATAGCTGGTACACTTCACAATCACTACACTGCAAGATGTAGTATAGTGTTCCTGTTTGGTAAAATAGCCGTTAGCCTCTACCCTCTGATAGTCATATATGACGCACGTATGCACCGGAATTGAGTCAGGCGTGGGCAGTGGTGAGCTGTAAATATGTCGCTGTCGCTTGTCTCCGCCGAAAATAACGTCTGCGAACCCGAGCCAGGAAACGATTTCTGTGACGTAGTAATTTTTAAGCCAATCACAGTTTAGCTAAAGTAACCCCAGAACTACTGCGCGAGGTATTCGCTGCGAGGAGCACTCGAGTTTCATCTATCATAGAATCTGATCGGCCAAGGAGAAACAAAAGTCATTACGTCACAGAAATCGTTTCCAGGCTCGTGTTCGCAGACGTTATTTTCGGCGGAGACAAGCGACAGCCGGAAATATGTCTGTGTTCGCAGGCTATAAATATGACGAACGTGATTCACTTGCCATGGACCATGAATTTAGTTTTCATGATTATTCACATGTTGAACACCATTGCTTGTGTTGCAGTAAATGAAATGGTTCGATTATACTGCTATAGAATTGTAAACGATAACGTATTTGCAAGTGAAAATAGGCGATTTAAAGAAATAACGTTTCGGTGCCATATTGGCGCCATTGTCAAGGTGATTATGAAAATATTCTGGAGTCCTGTTTTTGACTCAATTTCGTATGCACTGGAATTGAGTCAGGCGTGGGCAGGGGTGAGCTGTAAATATGACGAACGTGATTCACTTGCGATGGACCATGAATTTAGTTTTCACGATTATTCACATGTTGAACACCATTGCTCGTGTTGCAGTGAATGAAATGGTTCGACTATACTGCTTGAGTTTTACGGCGACATTCAGGGCAGAAGCCATTTCATTTCCACTGCTATAGAATTGTAAACGATAACGTATTTACAAGTGAAAATAGGCGATATAAAGAACTTGCGTTTCGGTGCCATATTGGCGCCATTGTCAAGGTGATTATGAAAATATTCTGGAGTCCTGTTTTTGACTCAATTTCGTATGCACCGGAATTGAGTCAGGCGTGGGCAGGGGTGAGCTGTAAATATGACGAACGTGATTCACTTGCCATGGACCATGAATTTAGTTTTCCTGATTATTTACATGTTGAACACCATTGCTCGTGTTGCAGTGAATGAAATGGTTCGACTATACTGCTTGAGTTTTACGGCGACATTCAGGGCAGAAGCCATTTCATTTCCACTGCTATAGAATTGTAAACGATAACGTATTTACAAGTGAAAATAGGCGATATAAAGAACTTGCGTTTCGGTGCCATATTGGCGCCATTGTCAAGGTGATTATGAAAATATTCTGGAGTCCTGTTTTTGACTCAATTTCGTATGCACCGGAATTGAGTCAGGCGTGGGCAGGGGTGAGCTGTAAATATGACGAACGTGATTCACTTGCCATGGACCATGAATTTAGTTTTCCTGATTATTTACATGTTGAACACCATTGCTCGTGTTGCAGTGAATGAAATGGTTCGACTATACTGCTTGAGTTTTACGGCGACATTCAGGGCAGAAGCCATTTCATTTCCACTGCTATAGAATTGTAAACGATAACGTATTTACAAGTGAAAATAGGCGATATAAAGAACTTGCGTTTCGGTGCCATATTGGCGCCATTGTCAAGGTGATTATGAAAATATTCTGGAGTCCTGTTTTTGACTCAATTTCGTATGCACCGGAATTGAGTCAGGCGTGGGCAGGGGTGAGCTGTAAATATGACGAACGTGATTCACTTGCCATGGACCATGAATTTAGTTTTCCTGATTATTTACATGTTGAACACCATTGCTCGTGTTGCAGTGAATGAAATGGTTCGACTATACTGCTTGAGTTTTACGGCGACATTCAGGGCAGAAGCCATTTCATTTCCACTGCTATAGAATTGTAAACGATAACGTATTTACAAGTGAAAATAGGCGATATAAAGAACTTGCGTTTCGGTGCCATATTGGCGCCATTGTCAAGGTGATTATGAAAATATTCTGGAGTCCTGTTTTTGACTCAATTTCGTATGCACCGGAATTGAGTCAGGCGTGGGCAGGGGTGAGCTGTAAATATGACGAACGTGATTCACTTGCCATGGACCATGAATTTAGTTTTCCTGATTATTTACATGTTGAACACCATTGCTCGTGTTGCAGTGAATGAAATGGTTCGACTATACTGCTTGAGTTTTACGGCGACATTCAGGGCAGAAGCCATTTCATTTCCACTGCTATAGAATTGTAAACGATAACGTATTTACAAGTGAAAATAGGCGATATAAAGAACTTGCGTTTCGGTGCCATATTGGCGCCATTGTCAAGGTGATTATGAAAATATTCTGGAGTCCTGTTTTTGACTCAATTTCGTATGCACCGGAATTGAGTCAGGCGTGGGCAGGGGTGAGCTGTAAATATGACGAACGTGATTCACTTGCCATGGACCATGAATTTAGTTTTCCTGATTATTTACATGTTGAACACCATTGCTCGTGTTGCAGTGAATGAAATGGTTCGACTATACTGCTTGAGTTTTACGGCGACATTCAGGGCAGAAGCCATTTCATTTCCACTGCTATAGAATTGTAAACGATAACGTATTTACAAGTGAAAATAGGCGATATAAAGAACTTGCGTTTCGGTGCCATATTGGCGCCATTGTCAAGGTGATTATGAAAATATTCTGGAGTCCTGTTTTTGACTCAATTTCGTATGCACCGGAATTGAGTCAGGCGTGGGCAGGGGTGAGCTGTAAATATGACGAACGTGATTCACTTGCCATGGACCATGAATTTAGTTTTCCTGATTATTTACATGTTGAACACCATTGCTCGTGTTGCAGTGAATGAAATGGTTCGACTATACTGCTTGAGTTTTACGGCGACATTCAGGGCAGAAGCCATTTCATTTCCACTGCTATAGAATTGTAAACGATAACGTATTTACAAGTGAAAATAGGCGATATAAAGAACTTGCGTTTCGGTGCCATATTGGCGCCATTGTCAAGGTGATTATGAAAATATTCTGGAGTCCTGTTTTTGACTCAATTTCGTATGCACCGGAATTGAGTCAGGCGTGGGCAGGGGTGAGCTGTAAATATGACGAACGTGATTCACTTGCCATGGACCATGAATTTAGTTTTCCTGATTATTTACATGTTGAACACCATTGCTCGTGTTGCAGTGAATGAAATGGTTCGACTATACTGCTTGAGTTTTACGGCGACATTCAGGGCAGAAGCCATTTCATTTCCACTGCTATAGAATTGTAAACGATAACGTATTTACAAGTGAAAATAGGCGATATAAAGAACTTGCGTTTCGGTGCCATATTGGCGCCATTGTCAAGGTGATTATGAAAATATTCTGGAGTCCTGTTTTTGACTCAATTTCGTATGCACCGGAATTGAGTCAGGCGTGGGCAGGGGTGAGCTGTAAATATGACGAACGTGATTCACTTGCCATGGACCATGAATTTAGTTTTCCTGATTATTTACATGTTGAACACCATTGCTCGTGTTGCAGTGAATGAAATGGTTCGACTATACTGCTTGAGTTTTACGGCGACATTCAGGGCAGAAGCCATTTCATTTCCACTGCTATAGAATTGTAAACGATAACGTATTTACAAGTGAAAATAGGCGATATAAAGAACTTGCGTTTCGGTGCCATATTGGCGCCATTGTCAAGGTGATTATGAAAATATTCTGGAGTCCTGTTTTTGACTCAATTTCGTATGCACCGGAATTGAGTCAGGCGTGGGCAGGGGTGAGCTGTAAATATGACGAACGTGATTCACTTGCCATGGACCATGAATTTAGTTTTCCTGATTATTTACATGTTGAACACCATTGCTCGTGTTGCAGTGAATGAAATGGTTCGACTATACTGCTTGAGTTTTACGGCGACATTCAGGGCAGAAGCCATTTCATTTCCACTGCTATAGAATTGTAAACGATAACGTATTTACAAGTGAAAATAGGCGATATAAAGAACTTGCGTTTCGGTGCCATATTGGCGCCATTGTCAAGGTGATTATGAAAATATTCTGGAGTCCTGTTTTTGACTCAATTTCGTATGCACCGGAATTGAGTCAGGCGTGGGCAGGGGTGAGCTGTAAATATGACGAACGTGATTCACTTGCCATGGACCATGAATTTAGTTTTCCTGATTATTTACATGTTGAACACCATTGCTCGTGTTGCAGTGAATGAAATGGTTCGACTATACTGCTTGAGTTTTACGGCGACATTCAGGGCAGAAGCCATTTCATTTCCACTGCTATAGAATTGTAAACGATAACGTATTTACAAGTGAAAATAGGCGATATAAAGAACTTGCGTTTCGGTGCCATATTGGCGCCATTGTCAAGGTGATTATGAAAATATTCTGGAGTCCTGTTTTTGACTCAATTTCGTATGCACCGGAATTGAGTCAGGCGTGGGCAGGGGTGAGCTGTAAATATGACGAACGTGATTCACTTGCCATGGACCATGAATTTAGTTTTCCTGATTATTTACATGTTGAACACCATTGCTCGTGTTGCAGTGAATGAAATGGTTCGACTATACTGCTTGAGTTTTACGGCGACATTCAGGGCAGAAGCCATTTCATTTCCACTGCTATAGAATTGTAAACGATAACGTATTTACAAGTGAAAATAGGCGATATAAAGAACTTGCGTTTCGGTGCCATATTGGCGCCATTGTCAAGGTGATTATGAAAATATTCTGGAGTCCTGTTTTTGACTCAATTTCGTATGCACCGGAATTGAGTCAGGCGTGGGCAGGGGTGAGCTGTAAATATGACGAACGTGATTCACTTGCCATGGACCATGAATTTAGTTTTCCTGATTATTTACATGTTGAACACCATTGCTCGTGTTGCAGTGAATGAAATGGTTCGACTATACTGCTTGAGTTTTACGGCGACATTCAGGGCAGAAGCCATTTCATTTCCACTGCTATAGAATTGTAAACGATAACGTATTTACAAGTGAAAATAGGCGATATAAAGAACTTGCGTTTCGGTGCCATATTGGCGCCATTGTCAAGGTGATTATGAAAATATTCTGGAGTCCTGTTTTTGACTCAATTTCGTATGCACCGGAATTGAGTCAGGCGTGGGCAGGGGTGAGCTGTAAATATGACGAACGTGATTCACTTGCCATGGACCATGAATTTAGTTTTCCTGATTATTTAC